CTCTAATAAAGGTTTTTTATTAATATTCTCATAAAGTAAATAGAGCCTTAGTAATTGACCTTATAAATTTATGCTGAAAAGAGTGGTGTGTCAATTTTATTAGATTTATAAGTTCTGTATGTATTCAAAGTGTGTCATTTCTTTAAGTTTTAAGCATACTGTGCCAATATTTTGAAACTCTGGGCTTTATTCAACATTCTAAAGCTCTATTGTGCTTCTTTTGTTACTGAAAGGGATTTCAATGGATCCTATTTTGAAGCTCCATTCAAATCTTAAAACATCTTTAAAAAGGGACCTAACCTCTTATCTTCTAGCAAATGGCTCAGTAGTTAAGCATACTGTGCCAATATTTTGAAACTCTGGGCTTTATTCAACATTCTAAAGCTCTATTGTGCTTCTTTTGTTACTGAAAGGGATTTCAATGGATCCTATTTTGAAGCTCCATTCAAATCTTAAAACACATCTTTAAAATAGAAAGTGACAAAATTAGGGTTGTTTGGGTTTGTGAATGAGTAGAATCCATACTCTATAAGTGCATATTGCAATATTGCAGCATTTACTTTCTGGTATTCTTTTTTCCCTCTTCTCACTGTGCAGCAATTATGTCTTCTGTTCCTTTTAAAATTGTTATATAGTATTTATAATTAAGGATGGAAAGCACAGCCCAGAAGAATAAAGAGAAAAGAAATCCTGTGAGGAAAGTTTAAACAAATGCTGTGTTATGAAGATAGTAGAGCTCTCGTATAGAAAAACTGACAACGGTAGGAGTCACAGTACTGAGTCTTTCTACCATGGAAACTGAATTAGCTCTCCTTTCTACCTCTAAACCAGAGAACAGAAAGAAAATCCATATAAATCATGACACAAATTAACTCAGATAATTTTTTAAAGCAAACTATATGTAGAACTTATTTAACCAGCAATAAAATTAACAGGTGAATTCATTCAAACCAGAACCAGACATTTTCTCAAGTTTTAGAACTAGCTAAGAAGTAAATGAAATCGCTATGTTTCTAAACCAAGGCAACTGAAAATGTGCCATTTGTAGACCCCATTTACAAATTAAGTTTAATCCAAGACCATGGGCCATGCTGACCTGCCGAAAGGAAACCACCTCCCGTACCCAAACCCAAAAAATGCTGATGTGTAAGAAACTGGACACTTGGTCTGCTTCGTGGTCTCACAAGAGAGACACCATTTCACACTGTAGCCCTGTAATTGGCTGTATCTCCTGGTTAATGTCTGCTGCTTCTCACCCTGCCATGTCTCCTTGTCATTCTCCACTTCCTACAGAGAACACTACTAATGGGGTTTGTATTTTTTGGTTTTGTTTTTTGCTCTATTCTGTAGTGGATTTTGGAGACATAATATAATCTCTGCTAGTGGGAAGCTTTTTATAGAGGCATTAGGTTTTCACACTGGTTCATTTTGTAGGAACTTTATAGGTACTCAGATGCCCTACATTTTTAAAAAATATATTTTATTGTTTTTTTACAGAGAGGAAGGGAGAGGGATAGAGAGTTAGAAACATCGATGAGAGAGAAATATTGACCAGCTGCCTCCTGCACACCTCCTACTAGGGATGTGCCAGCAACCAAGGTACATGTCCTTGACCGGAATCGAACCGGGACCCTTCAGTCCATAGGCCGATGCTCTGTCCACTGAGCCAAACAAGTTAGGGCTGCCCTACATTTTTTTAAAGCTAGCAATATTATTTATAACAAAATTTTAATGTGTTTTTGTATATTTAGGGTTCATCTAATATATGTTCTTTAATTTTGGAAGTAAAATTCTGTTTTCTTTGGTTATCATTGTTGAACTTAAGTAACCATAATTTAATGATATCCATTGATATTCATGTTGAAATTCTCCCACAACTTTTATTTATTTATTTTCCTATTTTATTTTTTAATTGAATTCATTGAGGTGAGATTGGTTAATAAGATTATATAGATTTCAGGTGTACAATTCTATAATAAATCAACTGTACATTGTGCTGTTTTTATATAAAATATTTAACCCACTCCCCTTGCATTTCTTGTTATAAATGAAAGAAAAAAATTGAAAGAGTACTGATGTCTTGCTATATATAGGGTTATGAAAAACTATTTTCTCTTTGTAAAAATTCACATATTTAAAATGTTATATTTGCAAGAATTTCACATTTCATTCAGGGCTAAACTTTGTCATTTCTAATAACAATATGGTCTTGCTCCTGAGCATGGGTAATGGTGACATTTTTATTCCAGGTGGAAATTTAACATTTTCACAGAGAAATTTCCCCATGTCTGTTGTGACACATCTTATTCAGCCTGCAAAACTAATATAAACCCATAAAAACAGAGACTAATAAAATGTTTCAAAATGAGTAAATACATGCTTCTTTTTAGGTTTCAAAATATTAAATATAATAGACTTCTCCACAACATCTTGCATCAGTAAAGTTATCTTCATCATCCCTGCAGTAATAGAACTTGGAAAATGTAGAACTTACCTAAGAAAGGTAGAATTAAGATTTTTTTTCTGTTGGTTCTGTATAAACTTTTTATTATAAATTATTCTTTAGTGCTCAATCCCTTATCCTGTTAATAAATTTTTGTTGGCCAGAATTTTTTCTCACTATTACCCTTTCTAAATTAAATTTAAAACATAAATTTTAAAATAAAATGTAGCTTCAATGGAATAAGTGGATTATTTAACAATATTTAAGAGAAAGTTTATAAGGACTTTTTTTTAGGGCCTTGAGCCAGTGGATTTAGAATCTTATTTTGATTCCTCAAATGTATTTACCATCAAAATATATAAGTATCTAGGACATATCACAAATATATAACATTAATATGCTGCTTTTATATTTTTTTCCAAATGAGAAGTTATATGGACATCCTATATTATATGATTAATACAGGTTTGACTGACTTTTTGTGCCTCTAATGTTTGTTGTTCTTTTATGAAGAGGAAACTCCAAGTACCATTACTATGGGATTCGTGTCAAGCCAGATTCCCCTCTCAATCGTCTGCAAGAAGATATGCAGTATATGGCTATGAGGCAACAACCCATGCAACAGAAACAAAGGTAGACTCTGCAGTTGTCATTGACATGTCAGTTATGTGTTTCTTTAGATTTTTGGTTTCCTTTTTTTCTGAACAAATACGTAAGTGTGAAAGAATGTCACTATTGTTGGCATACTTTCATGACAGACAGTTCTCATATATGATTTAGAATTTTATTCATCCTGCCTATTTTCCAAATCTTTCAAAATTACTTATCAGTCAGCCTGTTTGGCCCCTTTTAAGTTAAATGTGACATCCCAAGCTATCCAGACAGGGAAACTAAACACAAGTGTAAAGAGCACACCCAAGCAATTGCCAGCTGGAGAATGCGCTTCACATTCATGAGATTGTTACCTGCAATTCTGTATATCCCTCGAGCCATTCTTTTTGGCACAGTATAAATTCTTTCAGAATGTTTGGGATTTCTTACATTTTGTTTGAATCCAACTTTCATAGATGTAGAATTGTAGGTATTAGAGCTGTAAGAAAGTTTAAGCATTCGTGGATGGCTGGATGGGTGGATGGTTGGGTGGATGTATGGATGGATGGATGTATGGATGGAAGGAAGGAAGGAAGGATGGATAGATGGATGGATGGATGGATGGATGGATGGATGGATGGATGGATGGATGGAATCATAGATCTTGGAATTGAAGATACCTCAGTCTAGTCTGGCCACACAGCCTTGTGATAATCAAAGCATTAATAGTCCTATTTTTCAATTAAGTCTCAGATCAAATGATTTACATAAGCCCATGATGCTGTTATACAGCTGAGGGCCTTCTAGTCTCATGTGGCTTATATTACAGTTTGTAGTAAATAAAATGAAAGATAACTCTATCTCTCCCTCTCCCCTTCCTCCCTCTCCCCTACAGTGTAGTACAGCTGTGGCAGTAGTTACAATTTATCTTTTCCATTGAGCATGCAGAATTAGGTAGCAGAACCAAAGTCTACACATAGGTAATCAGATAATCTGCATCATTCTGCCTAATCCATTGATCAATGATTAGTCCCTTAGCCATCAGAAGTATTAGCTCTAAGTCATTGCTAGAGAAAGAATATATCACACAGGATTCCCTTTTCTATTTTGTCAGCAAGTACTAATTGAATTCAGAGAGAAGTCACAGCCCTTACCTTTGAGGAGTTAAGAAATTAGATGGGAAAGCACAATTTTGGGTGTGGTTTTTTGTTTGTTTTGTTTTATTTTGTTTTTTAAGTAATGCAGTATGAGAAGTACTAAAATAAAGCTTTGATCGAGGACCTATTGGAATACAGAGGAATTTTTATCAAATTATTGGAGAGGGAGAACTAGGAAATTTCATAGAGAAAGTGCTATTTGAGTGGGGATTTAGAGGAATCAAAGAGAGGAGCATTCAGGCAGAGGGAATAATGTACGCAAAAGTATAAAGGGGCAGAGTTCACAATGTCTTTGGTAACTGCTCTGATTTGGTGCGGTTGGCATTGCAGAAGAAGAATTGAGAAGGTTGAGTAGTTTAGTGGGAAACGAGATTTAAAAAGTAGTTTGGATCTGAGATTAAAGGATTTTGTTGTATATGAAGTTAAGTTTGTTCTTTGTACAGAATATAGCTTTGAAGTTGTATAAGGTTTTGAAGCAAAAGAATGAAACTTTCAGATTTTTTTCTGGAGAGATGACTTTTTGGTTTTAGGCTAGAAATATGTAATGGGAAGAGACGAGAGGTTAAGTGGTTTTAACACAGAGTTTCTAGTACAAGTGTCCCAAACTGAAGAGTCAGGACAAGATTGGATATGATGTAAAGATATCTCAAGGGATTTAGATTTTTAATTCACAGATTCTCAACCATATTTTTTAAGTTGCTGACCCTTATTTTTTGAGGTATAGTTCACGAAAGATATTAAGGGCTCTGGAAAAAATAAGACAATAAATCATAGAACATTAGCACATAATGTGTTTGGAGATAGAGTTTGTGGGAATTATAACAAAGTGTTATTGTCTTGGGTTATGATTTTTTTTCACCTGTTATGGCAATATTTATAGCTTTTAATTTATGAGGTCTCTGCACTCATTTATAGCAGCACTACACAGTGGAGGTAATGGTGCAATCAAGAAACAAAAGTTTGATTCAAAAATAACACATGCTCAAACTTAAATATGAAAAAAGCTTAATGAACTGCATCTAAGACAGCAGAAGCCTATTTCTTCCTGTGATATAACTGCAAATAAATCCTACCAAGCAAATTTTCATGGAAATGGAAGCCTTTAAGATACATTCTTTATTTTAAAAGCCTGGGTTAGGGAAGCAAGACCTAAGATTTAACAAAGGTTTCTTAATTAAAAGGTTCCAGAGATGTGAAGTTTAACAAGTCATATAAACTCTACAATCACAGTATAGTAGTAAATGTTTTTTAGAATTAGATATAATGTGGATGTATGTAAGAAATGATGTAAAATTTTTAGTAATACTAATAAATTGTGCCAACTTTAGTTTTTACTTTCTCATGAAATAAATGTTAGACAACCAAAGAAATCCTAAAATTTCCTGTAATTTTTTTTAATTATAAAACTTTTGGATTTTAGATAGTTGCTCTAGGAATGGTGGTCTGGCTAACTGATTGCAGTGTTAGTGTTATCAACTTCATGCATCCCTCATTGGATCAGTAGGACAGAGGGAGATTTCCCTTGTGTCTGAAGGATTCTATCAACTGGCAGCACCAATGGACCTGAAGTGAAAGCAGATTGCCCATTGTGCAGAAACACTTGGATGGGAGAGGAGAGGTTTTCTCCCTAAGTCTGAATGTAGGCATAAGAGCATTTGTTGTAAACAATGGGAAAGAGCACGTCATTTGTTTTATGGCTTAAATATGAGATGATTCCAAAACTCAAATGATTCCATTGAATATATTAAAATTCACATAAGAAGAGATTGTCATTCTCCTGTTAAAATACAAGCAACATAGTATTACATATCCTATATAATAAAAGGCTAATAGGCAAATCGACCAAACGGCGGAACGGCCAGTCACTATGACACACACTGACCACCAGGGGGCAGATGCTCAATGCAGGAGCTGCCCCCTGGTGGTCAATGCGCTCCCCCAGGGGGAGCGCCACTCAACCAGAACCCGGGCTCACGGCTGGCAGCACAGTGGAGGGGGCGGGATCCTCTTCGGCCTCCATGGGAGTCGGACATCCCCTGAGGGGTTTCAGACTGTGAGAGGGCGCAGGCTGGGCTGAGGGACTGTGCGCGCGTCCCCCCACCCCCAGTACACGAATGTCATGCACCAGGCCTCTTGTTTTAGAATATTGAAATTATTTAAGTGCCTCAGGATTTATTGTATTCATCTATATGTGTACATCTTCCATAGTAGAAATGTACGTTTCATGTATTCTTATATTAAGAAAATTCAAGTATATTCAGTGATGATTTTGTCAAATAAAAGGGAAGTTTTAGAAGTCACTTTTCTGATAAGTTTGGAATCATAGTAGTTGTAGCAGAAATAATGATCTGATCGCTGTTTTGTATTCCTTTATAACTGTTAGATCTCTTTTACATACGGTATTTCATTTGACTATTTGATAAGGTAGAAAAGGAAAATTCCACTTACCTATACATCAGATTTCCAGCAACACCACCATAAGGAACATAGCCATGAGTCAAGAAATAAAGGGAAACAGCTTCTGATTGAAAAACAGGTGTCACAGAGCCTGTAGTTTAGCTTACTTGAGAAGATGAAGCCATTCTCAAGCTATTTACCTAAAATATAGAAGCAGATTAGAGCCCACTTGATTCACATAAAATCATGAGATACAAAAGCAGGCAAGAGGAAATATAAGTAGACAAGGGTCTTCTATTTGCTTTGGGTTATTTAACACAGCAGGCTGCACTCCAGTAGGTCCTTTGAGTATCACTCTAGTGACCAGAATCTAGTCTAACACAGTTTAATAACTGGCTAATTGAGGAATTATAGGTGATCAAGAAGAGGTAAAGTACCCTGGTTAAAGAAGCAGAAGACTGTATAATAGTTGTTTTTTAATACCTTCTGCTGAAAATATTTTATGTGAAAATAACTTACATGCTCACATGGGGTAATCTTTCATTTCCAAGGGAATTCACCATAAACTATTGTTTCCCATAATTTATACAATAAATAAATTAGATTATTACAGAGCAAAATGGAGATCAGTAATTTTTAGAGCTACAAGCTAAGTAAAAATGTTTGTTGCAGTTTTATTTTTAATATTTAAAAGAAGCACGTAGAGGGTGTTGACACATACATTTTAGTTATTCTTCCAGATCCCTGCAGCAAAAGTGGTGGAATAGAGCCAAGTGCTTTTGACAATGTGCTTGGCTGTGTTTGATCCCAGTAGCCTTCCTCAAAATATTTAAACTGCAGTTATCATTCCTTCAACAAATACTTAACAACCAACAATTGCATACCAAATATGCCCATCACATCTAAAAGAGATATCACAGAATAATAGAATGTTAGAGCTGGAGGGAAGAGATCACCTAGTCCAACTCATCTTCTTGCTGGGAAAACTGAAGTCCATAAAGGGTAGACAACTTACCCAAGGTCATAGAGCAATCAGGACTAGAACCCAGTCCCCTTGTATTTATTCTTAGATGAATTCCACCTTAAACAGGTAAGATAACTCAAACAGAAATGTACAACTGTAATTAAATGTTTGCATATGTAATAAAGGAAAAAAATCACACTTTAGTATGTCCTAAATATGTGAGGGAATATGTCATTTCCTCCCTCTTCGTATGGTCTTTCCATAGGAATTGGATCCTGTGAAAAAAGGAACATTTGTGGCTCTGGGGCAGGGGAAGGGGAGATAGAGGCCTATTAGAAAGATGGTACAACAGGGCTACTTTCGCTGTGGCCGTAGACAGATGTGAAAGCATGCATGTTTCTCAGAAGAGAGTGAGGACTAGAACCTTTGTTATTAGAAGACCTTTCTTCATCCACTTGTCATAGACAAGTGAGAAGGCCCCTGTATTTAACATTGGGAGGTATGGGTTCGAGTACAGCCTGCTT